AAAGGAACGCCGTTCATCACCTTTTTTCAAAAAAACGAACTTCGTTCACGAACGCGTTCATTTACAACACTATCTCGGTGACATGTTGGCTTCTAATTAAAAAATTTTTTTAATGATATGGATAATCAAAATGGCGTCCCCATCTGTTTTTTCATTGATGTACACTTTTAATGAATGCATCGTCAGTCTAGGTATTATTATATATATCATTGGTGTCACAACCATAAAAAATTATAATTTTTGAAAAAGATAAAAAAATTAGTAGCATTCATGTATTTATATTCATATACCAGCAAAAGTCGAATTTCCTATCCATTCTCTAAATAAAAATTATTTATATTTTAGAAGAAAAAAAAACATGTAAACTAAAACAATATTTATAGGATTTTACACTAAAAAAAGAGGGTGGGGGGGGGGGGGAGTTGAATTTCTATAACTAATATATGAGAAACCTGCAGAGGTACCATTTGTACGGCAAGGATTTTTTTTCCAAAATTTTTTAACGGCCCAACCCGGTCCGGGTTTTATATTTTAAGGCCCGACACGGCTTTTTTAAAAAAAAAATTTTTTAGGACCAGACCGTGTATAATTTAAAAAATTAAAATATGGCCTGGCCCAGCCCTAAACCCGGACCATGCTTAGGGCCGGGCCTGTAGGTCTCTGCTATGTATTAAAGAAAGAGATAAAATATGTTTAAGGACATATTCTATTCCAAATATTTCCCCTCAGCCATGACTTGGTACCGTTGTTAGCATAGAAAATCCCAAACTTTAGGTGCTATCATAAAATGAAATTTGGGATAGTTGATCTAGAGGTTAGTTTCTTTCTTTCTTTCTTTCTTTCTTTCTTTCTTTCCTTCTTTCTTTCTTTCTTAATTTACAATTATATTCACTTTCCCCCCTTCTTTTTTTTGTAAAGTCCTTTATTAATCCACGGGGAAAGATAAAATATATTTTGTTTTATTTAAATATCAATATTTCGAAAAATTTACAAAGCGTCATTACAGGATTTGTAATACTAACAAAGATATTTTTTTTATATGTACTTTGATAATAGGAAAGAAACGTCTTCCAATTTTTTGGCGCGAGCATCAGCTGTATAATCGCAGAATAGTTTTATATCATCTATGGATCTTATGGCGGGGCCTTTCTAAAAATAAAAAATAAATTGTATGAATAAACATTATTTTTTTTTGTACGAAAGATCTGATTTGACTGGAATTGCATTCCTAATGCGAGGTTTTGATTCGTTCCCCAACAAATCTAAGAATTTATTTCTCTGATATCTGACTTTACCGAACATGTATTCCCTACCCCCATTCCCGCCGGAATATTTAAGAAATACCTGCTCTAAGATTTTTTAGAAAATTTTGTCATAACTTAATATTATATTTGTAGTAGTGCTTTCATAAGTTTTTTTATATAAAAGTTATAAATTGAACTCAAAAGTTTTCGATAAAAATTGTTTGAAATAGGATTTATTGAAATCTTTTTAAAAAAATTTAGAAACAATTTACGTAATCTTGGATTCCTTTGAGAACAAAATAGGCCTCGTTTTCAAATGATGCGTCCCGCAAAATGTGATCAACCTTTTTGTTATAAAAATTATTTTATATTTATAAATAATCGATAAATAAACAAAACCGAAATCTCTTCTCTTCATCTTCTCTTCTCTTCTCTTCTCTTCTCTTCTCTTCTCTTCTCTTCTCTTCTCTTCTCTTCTATTCTCTTCTCTTCTCTTCTCTTCTCTTCTCTTATTAAACATTTTAAATTAAATGAAATTTGTTTTTGCAGTGTTAATATCATGGGAATGTAAATTAAAAAAAATTTTTGATTAGGGTTTTTTGAGGCAACACGCAACATATAAAAAAGTACGATTTAATGGGTAACCCATCTTATATAAATATCAAATTAGTTATACTTGAGCAGCAATTGAGATTAATTCATTTTGTGTCAGAGTCATATTTGCAGGAACTATATAGAACATACCTTCTATATAGTACGGACCTTTAAAATTAGTATTTGTATCTGTAGTTTTTGCTTTTTTGACTAATTTGCTGGCTAATAATGTATATTAATTTATACCGCAAATTAATTTGATTATTTTTAGGTGAGAAAATATATATTTCATTATCTGCCATGGGGGTTAAATGATCCTTTTCAAATGAATCTAGATGCAGTTATATGGCCTAAAAAATAGATTTCGATACAGATCCATCGTCTAAAAAAAAATGTCAATTTAGATACTATTTTACAAATGTATCTGCACTTCGATACATTTCTTTTCTTACAAATGTTTTTAGAAGTATACACTGCTTTTCCAATTGAACGGATACCATTTTATTTTAGCAATCAATCTGTCAATTCTAAAACTAATTCAGTAAACCTCTATATATTTGAAAGAGGGATAAATTATCAATGTTTTCTGCAAATTTCATCAAATCCTAACAACTGAGTCTAAAGTTAGACAAACAAAAATGATTAAAATGTCACATCTCCTAAACCTGTGTTCCGTTCAACTTAAAGTTATTTTTTTTAACGAGTTCGGGTCGGGTCGGGCCGGGCCTAATATTTTTTGAAAAAATTTGGGCCTGGTCTGTCGGGCCTTGGAAATTTTTTTAAAATATATTCTAAACTTATCAATTTTATATTGAATTTTTTATGTAAAATAAAAATATATGATTTTATTTATAGAAACTTGATGCCATAATATAACTTTTATTTTAAATAATTATAAAAAATTAATTTTCTATTTTTAAATAAATTCGATCCAAGTCGGGCCGGTAATTTTTTTTAAAAAAAATTCGGGTTCGGACCGGACCGGGCCGGCAAAACTCTTTTAAAAAATTCGGGGCCGGGCCGGGTTTGAAAAATTAGGACCCGATGCAGATCACTAATTCAATTAGAGACAATATTAGCTTTATTTTTTTGAATATAATAGTGAAATAAATCTATAATATTAGTTTTATAATATATTTTTTTAAAATTCATTGTCATTCTATAATTAATGGTTACAGAGTCATGTCCTGATTCATATTCAATGCATTCAATTTTTTTAAATATTTTTTAATCAATTCTCCTATTGCTGAAGTCTTTAAATTTCTGTGTTTTAGTATGAATATTAACCCAAAGCTACCTATATATTTCTGAAGACGAAATGGAACGATTGTTAGTAAAATGTCACTTCTCTTTAAAGGCCAAGTTGTTCAAAACTCATTGCACCAGCACTTGGATCCAAAAACCTGATTGTTTTTTATGGGTATTACTGCTCTCCACATATTTTGCTGTCAAATATACCGTTCTTATTAAATTTATGATAACGCCTGAAATACTTTGATCATCACCACATTTATCGCCTTTTTTATATATAACAACTTTGTTAACTTGCTATTTGCTATGTATTTTAAATAAAACTTTATATTTTTGTTTATCAAAAGCTATTAAAACCTATATGTTGTTGTTTAATTTTATTTTTCTCTATATATTTAATTTGTCAGGCATTGTAGCCATAAATGTTCATAGGCTGCCCATTCCACTCGATAATATCTAACACTGCGATAACTAGCTTCTTCCTTATGAATCCCTAATTATTCTTTTTCCATAAGCATTTTAGATTTATAAAATAACAATTCTTGTAAAAATTGACGATCATACAGAGGGATTATTACATACATAAGTAGATTGATGAATCAAAGTTTCAACTATTAGGGCATTACTAGCCTTTACAATCTCAGTGGGTTTTTTTCAAATTTATTAGGAGTCTAGAGCCCCTATGCTGCGTTTTCCCTCCCCTAGTGCCTGATTAGTGCCTATTCAACTCTCATCCTTACAAAATATTTATCATCAAATTTAGCATAATTAATTTTATATTCACAAATTAGTACAGTCTTTTATAAATGTTACTGAGAGCTTAGCAAATACAGCGATGATTCCTCAAAGTACATATTCATACCCATCATTTGCTCCACCTTAACTACACCTGGTGATTTGGCTAAAAACTTTTTTGAAGACGTTGGCCGCCTAATCAGAAAATATTTTGGGGAGCCTCGCGAAGGTTTTTACTTAAGGCAGAGGATCGCAATAGCCATTCTTAAGGCTAATTATGTTTGTTTTATTAATTCGATTTCTCCTGATGATTAGATGAAGGAGGTTTTGAATAATTTCTGCTGCTTTTGCTTTTATTTGTTTATTTAGTGTTATGCCTCAACAATATTGTCCTTTTGTTATTATGAATTTTTTTTTTCGTAATTGTTTAATAATTATATATTTTTCAATGATGATTTATATAAACTATTAATTTTTAGAATAATACTAAAATTATTTTAATACTTTCAAATCTTATATATCTTGCTATATATAATGGAAATAATCAATTTTAAAGATTGTTCGATTTCGAGACCCTTCCATATACTTCTTTATAATAACACGTTAATAGATAAAAATTTATGCAAAAACTCAATATTAGTGTGTTCTTTCCATATTTTAAGATAGGTTTATAAGTTGTCTCTATGCTTGTTGGACTTATTTATGATACATATTCCTGTTTGTTTTACCTAGGCTTAACACCTTAATTAAAATAACCTTTTTTGGGTTGTTTTAATCGTTTTGTTGTTTTCGTTTTCTTGTTTTTTATACTTATTCCGTGTTTTGTTTTTTATATTGTTTTTTTAAACTTATTTTTAGGCTGTTTAGTTTAAGCTAAATTATCGGGCTAAAAAACCGACTATTCAATTTAATAGTTCTTTTAATTAATTTTTATGGTACGATATTTTCCAAAAATGATATACCCGAATTTAAATGTTTTTTGTTTTAAAATTTGCGCTTAATCTTATATAAAAAATAGCAAATAATTTATATAAATTCATATTATATTTTTGTATAACTCCCTCGGCTATTGTGAAGCCTGCTGAAGTACCTGTTGTGCTACGGACCATTGTTATATGGCCCATCCTGTATTATTCTTATATATTTTTTGGGAACCTTTTTCTGGCGTAGCGCCCATCAGATAAGTTTTCTTGGGATTCTATCGAAGGCCTTTTTTAGATCGAGAAAGACCATGTGTAGCTTTTTGCTCTTTTCCCTGTATTTTTCACTCATTTGCCTAATTGCGTGGATTGCATCATTTGTTGATCTTCCAGGCATAAAGCCACCTATTTCGATTATATCTCTTAATCTTTTTTCCATTATTTTTTCGTAGAGTTTAAGACAATGTGACATTGGTTTTTTGCCCCTGTAATTTTGACAATTGTGTGGATCCCATTTATTTTTGAAGATAGGAACTTGATAGCTTTGCCTCCATTTTTGGAGAACCTCTTCACTTCCAAGTATTTTACAGATTTGTGAGGAGATGTATTCCATCATCTCCTAGTGCTTTTAGGCTTTCTATTGGAATATGATCTGGATCCCTAGCTTTGTTGTTTTTCACATGCTTGAGGCATGTTATAATTTCTTGTTTTGTTATTGGTTGTACAAGGTTTTGACATAAGTGTTCATCTAGATGTAGTATGTGGGGATTAAAGTTGAGAAGCTTCTAAAAATATACTTTCCATCTATTCATTATTTCTTTTTCCTTTATTATCAATTTCCCATCTTTGTTTTTGATTACTTTCGGAGCTCCGTTTATATCCTTAAAATTATTTTCTCGCTGTTTGGCTAATCTGTATATTTTATTTTGCCATTCTTTATGTAGTTCTTCATACAGCCACCACCTTTGTAGCCATTCTCTTGGATATTTTGTATCATGTCTTGTCATCTGGGTTTTTGGATTTGTACCATATTTTATAAAGGGCTTTTTTCTCTCTATTATCTAAATGAAAGGTCTGTCAACATTTTCTCACTGACTTGTGAGGAATCTATTGTTTCAATGTTTGCATCGATTGCAAAGGCATCTGTCATTGTTTTTAATTTACCCCATTTGATGCGGTTCCAGTTTTATCTTATTTTGAGTAGATTTATTTATGATGTGTAAATCCATGACTAGTAGTTTGTGTTGCATGGCTATATCTTCTTCTGGTGACTTTGCAGTCTATTTACATCTTTTAATCTTCTACGAGAGATTATTATGTAAAATCTGTGTTTTTCTTGTACCACTTTCATATGTTATTAAATTACTGTCTTTTTTCCTATAGTAGGTGTTGGTTAAGGCAAGGTCAAAGGCTTGCGCAAATTTCAGTACATGCTCTTATCCTTTCTCCGTATCCAAAACCATGTTATAGACAATATTTTCGTTATTTTATATATAATATTAAAAGATCTTTCTTTCTTTCTTTCTTTCTTTCTTTCTTTCTTTCTTTTTCTTTCTTTCTTTCATTCTTTCATTCATTTTATAATATATTTTTTTAAATTCATCGTCATTTCTAAAATTAATGCTGGCAAAGTCTTGTCCTGATTCATATTATAAATTTTTTTAATAGTTTTAATCAATTTTCTTTTTGTTGAGGTCTTTAATTGACTCGATTTATCGTATGAATATTACCTAAGCGACCTACATCTTTTCTGAAGAAGAAGTAGAACTAGGGATTGTTTGTAAAATGCCACTTCTCTTTAAGGGCATGATTGTTCAAAATCCTTTGCACCAACTTGGATCCAAAACCTGATTATCTTTTTTAGGGAAGTTACTGCTTTCCACATATTTTGTTATTAAATATGCCGCTTTTACTTCTGAATTTATTATAACACTTCTAATATTTTGAACATCACCAACTTGTAAAATGACCATTTCTTGTATTATATGCTCGCTTGATATTGAGGATTCATTAAATAAACAGCATTGTGATCACATCTATTATTTTAAACCATTTTTTTCTATTTTTTAAATCTTCAGTTTTTTTAAGTATTTGATCAGGTTCAATACACATTAGGTCAATTGGCAGACTTCCCAACCTAGCGCTTATTTGTTTATGACCAATTCCGATATTCTATTTCCTGTTATATCCAAAGATATCTCAAGTTAAAGAAAGTACGTTGTGACTATCGGGCCAAATTATTTCGACCTTTAGAGACCCGTATCTCAGCCTCTGTTTAGAGCTAAAAATTAAAATTTTGTCTTATAATTAGTTATGATATATTTAAACTGTAGTAAAATTTAGAAAACCGGAGGGGTGCCTTATGTAGTAGATTTGTGGCGGAATTCATCTTATACAAAATATATAATTATATGTTTATAAGCGGGGTTATCTAGTGTGTCAGTTCTTAATTCAGATATCATTAACCAATCTGAAGAAAAAGAAATTTAAAATATGTTTGAAAAAAAAGAAGAAAAAACGATATAAATAGATATGCTCACAATGCTGCCTATTTAATAATAAGAGGAGCTATTAATAGGGAATTTAATGACGTATGTGATATAATACAAGAATTGGGCATTTTACAAGGTGATGATGATCAAAATATTACAAATGATATCATGAATTTCAGAAGTAAAATGGGCATGTTTAATAGAAAATTATGTGGAAAGCAGAACTTCCATAAGAAACAATCAGATTCAGGTCTCAAGTGTGTAGAATGAGCTTGCTTTGCTCACCATGTCCATTAATAAAAATGGCATTTTACTAACTATTCCTGGAATTAGTCGATTGTATTAATATTCTTACTAAAACAGAAATCTATTAAAAATCTCTACAACAGGAAAATTGATTAGAAATTATTAAAGAAAATGATAATAAATATGAATCAAAACAAGACTCTGCCACGGATAAGGAAACCTTAGTCCATGAATGACAAAGAATTTGATTAATATTATTAAAATTAATATTAAAGATTTATTTTACACCTATAATACAAAATAAAGTTAATATTGTCTTAAACTTCAATGACCGATTCATATTTGACCAGTCAAATGCACAATCCTGTTTATATAAGTAATAATTGTTAGATTTTACATGTAAAACATTCTCTAAATTTTTTTGTCATCTGTTGCGTTAAATAAAATTTGTCTGGTTTGGTTTTGTAATGAAATAAACTTGGATATAATATTTTTAAATATACAAATAGGTAAAATCAAATTACATTTAAATTTATCTAAAAAAGGTAAATAAAGGCAGAGATATCTAAAAAGGTATCCAGATACAGATACCGGATTTCGTATATAGCAACTCTGTTATCTTCTATAGCTATGTAATTTAATTAAAACGTTACATTTTGTTTATTAAAAGCTATGATGAAATGAAAACGCATATGTTGTTGTTTAACTTTTTTTCTCTATATTTGTAGTTAGTCAGACTTTGTAGGCGTAAAAGTCATATGATGTCATTCCATTCGATAATAATTTCACTGCAGTAACTCTTTCCCTCTTTATAGCTTTATCCCTAATTATTCTTTTCCTTATATATTTTACATTTTGAAATATCCACTTATAAACATTGACGATGATCAATCAAAGCCTCAACATTTGAGGTTTGCCTTTTCAATCTCAGTGTGTTTTTCAAATTCTAGAGCCCCTATGCTCCCCCTCCCTTCCCCTAATGTTACTACGGCCTATTCAATTCTCATATTACAAATTATAAATTTCTTTATAATCATAATTTTTTTTAAATCAAATTTAGCATAATTAGTTTAAATTCACAACATTCATAGTCAGTAGCGTCACCAGGGCGGGAAGAGGAAAGGAAGCGCCCAGGCTAGAGCCCTCATAAAAATTTGAATATCTCATTAAAACGAAAATTTTTTTTATTTTAAATGACTCCCTAATATCCTTCTGAACTAAAAATAAATTTTTTGATAGCCCCCCCTGAACGATATTTTTAAAAATTCTATTAAGTATTATATATATATATATATTTGATTTTTATTATTTATATATTAATAAGACTATCTAAATTTTTTATTATAAGAGTGCTATTTTAATTATTAGATTGGATTAATAATACATATAAATTATATTTTTGCCATGTCAGCTTGCAATCAAATTCTGTGTTAAAAATGGAATATCAATATCACTCATAATGTCTAAATATCAATTTTGCCTTAACAGTTGAAGCTTAATTTGATTTTTATTATTTAATTTATTTTATAACCCTAATTAAATAAATATAATTCAGCTTTTACAATCTTAGGGGGCTAAACTAAAAAAAATTTAATAGTGCGGGCCTTTAGCCCGCTTTTGCCCGGTCTTCAGCCGAGTTTTATATTAATAAATTATACTTTTTTAATTGAAATTTACAAACTCTGAACACATAATTCTTAGCAACCTCCATTGACAAAAGATCATGAAACTAATATAACCTTGTGTTACCACTTTGGACAATGATTTATAGAGTGTATTAATAAGGAAAAATTTGTCGGCCTTGCGAAAATAAAAAAATCTTTAGAAGAAATAATTATGCAAATATATTGAAGCCATGAGTTATTAACATGATAAGGATTCTATGTTAAAAATGAATCCGTTATTGAGAAAATAAGAACCAGAGTGATAAAGCAATTAAAATTTTATATATTATTATTATGGTACCACCTCTAGCTGGAATATTATGTCTTAAAATAATGGTAGTTTGTAATAATATCAAAAATATACTCGTATTAAAAATTTAACTCGAAATATTTTACAAGGAACGAAAAAATAGCTTTCCTAAAAACACATAAAAAAGAGAAGGAAAAAAAATCTAATAAGATTATATCTATTGTGGGATAAAGATATTTATTAACACTATTTTTTTTAAATAAATAGATGGCGTTAAAGAATTGAAAGCAAATTGTTACTTATATTTATTATTAAAAGCATTCATTAGTAAAGTTTATTAAAATATTAACTGTAATATATTTTATAACTATCAAATATCTGTAAAAGTGGCATTTTACCTAATATTTTGTAAACTCTATGTAATAGAGGAGAATCAACTATATGTCTACTTACTTTTTATAAAAAGTTCTTATACTTGTTTGAACGATGGAAATATATTTAGGAAGAGTCTGGTAATTAAATTATTCCGATATTGTTTGCATCGTGATAGTCCTGGTTATGACTGTAAATTAACCAGCATCTATTATTTGTGTAGCTATGTAATTTAAGAAGATTATTACTCCGGCTGCTGAGGGCGTTTGATTACACAATTTAGATGAGCAACAATGGTTAACTGTCTAATCGTTTTATATATCATCAAAAATGAAAAATAATCTTTTAGAAATTTAATGTCTCACAATAATTTTCTCGATTAATTATCTAGCTTTTATAATGTCATAGGTTTAACCACTATATAGTTTTATGATTCGGATTAGTGGTTTATATCCTCTTTTTCAAGAATTATTGATTTGGTTAAGGGTACAAATTTAGTCAATTCTATAAAACATTGTCTAAAATGTTAACACAATCTATATTAGTCCTTTGTCAATGTATGTTGCTAAGAATTGTATTGACTTGTATGGTC